GTAGTAGTAGTAGTAGTAGTAGTAGTAGTAGTAGTAGTAGCAGTAGTAGTAGTAGTAGTAGTAGTAGTAGTAGTAGTAGTAGTAGTAGTAGTACTAGGACTAGTACTAGTAGTAGCAGTAGCAGTAGTAGTAGTCGTAGTAGTAGTCGTCGTAGTAGTAGTAGTAGTAGTAGTCGTCGTAGTAATACGAATACTAATACTAGTAAAAATACTAATGCTAATAACAATGTTAATACTAATCATAAGGCTACACATAATACGATTAATACTCACATTACTAATACTAAGACTAATAATGCTACTACCATTAATTACTCCGACGGAAGAACCCCACACAAGAATCCTCTGGGCGAATCTGGAAAAAGCCATCACCGTCGTCCTCGTGGTTGGTGAGGCGTCCTGGCTGTCTCTTCTGCGTATATTTCCTCTCGCCTTGGCGCGGGCCCCCCTTCCACTCCTTACGTTGTCCCCATCCTCGCCCCCCTGTTTGTTCCGCGCCCCGCCACCTCCTCCCCTTCCTGTTGCATGAGCGCGCATGTCGATGTTCCTCGGCGCCGTCGCCGCCACGGCCAGCACAGGCGCGTTCTCTACTGGTCACGTCGCGCAGCCGTTGGGACAACCCCGCGGGCCAGGCTGTCGGGACAACCCCGCGAGCCGTTGGCGCGCAAGACCAAGCCGTTGGGACAACCCCGCGGGCTTCGAGCGAGGCGCAGCCGCGCTCAGGCGGAAGGCAGCACGAAGCCCAGCTCTGCCGCGAGCTGCTTCGCCTCCGCCCTGGACAAAACCGCTCTCTTGTCGAACTCCAGGAGCGCCTTCCGCAGGGACGCCGGCGGCCCGCACTCCAGGAACTCTCGCGGCGGCGGCCGCAGGATCAGCATGTTCCGCATGCACGTGGCGCGGGAGAACATGACGTAGAGGTGCAGCCACCACTGCTCGTCCGACATGCCCGTGCGGCCAGCGTCCTCGTCTCTCGCGCAGTCGATGGTGACGCCCTTGCGCAGCGTCTGGCCCTGCGACAGCGTGGAGGTCAGGTAGGACGCGTGCGTCAGGGTGAACCCCGAGCGGCGCACGCTGTGCGCCCCCGAGCTCTGCCATGTGAACTCCCTTTCGCTGGGCCTGAACATCAGCAAGCTCCGCGCCCGCGCCTCGGCCTGGCCGTCGTCGTCGGCGCCTTCGGCGCCCTGTCGCAGCACCTCGGCGACCTGAGGAGCCCAAAAACTTCCTTGTTGCGTCCAAAATGTGGCCTGGGAACTGCGTTCTGGCAGCGCGAGAACCCAACATTGACGACAGTTACAGGTTTTGGATGACCCGCTCGGATTACCAACATGATCTGCGGGCCCCATAGGGAGGGGGCTCCCGCCTGAGACTTCCTCGCAGTTCACTCACAGACGAGGCTCCCGCCTGAGACTTCCTCCATATTCAGGCTTGAGGAGCCCAAAATTGACGACAATTACAGGTTTCCGATGACCCGCTCGGATTACCAACATGATCTGCGGGCCCCATAGGGAGGGGGCTCCCGCCTGAGACTTCCTCACAATTCACTCACAGACGAGGCTCCCGCCTGAGACTTCCTCCAAATTCAGGCTTGACGAGCCCAAAAGTGACGACAGTTACAGGTTCCGATGACCCGCTCGGATTACCAACATGATCTGCGGGCCCCATAGGGAGGGGGCTCCCGCCTGAGCCTTCCTCAGAATTCACTCACAGACGAGGCTCCCGCCTGAGACTTCCTCCAAATTCAGGCTTGAGGAGCCCAAAAGTGACGACAGTTACAGGGTTCCGATGACCCGCTCGGATTACCAACATGATCTGCGGGCCCCATAGGGAGGGAGCTCCCGCCTGAGACTTCCTCCCAATTCACTCACAGACGAGGCTCCCGCCTGAGACTTCCTCCATTTTCAGGCTTGAGGAGCCCAAAAGTGACGACAGTTACAGGTTTCCGATGACCCGCTCGGATTACCAACATGATCTGCGGGCCCCATAGGGAGGGGGCTCCCGCCTGAGACTTCCTCACAATTTACTCAACGATGATGAGGATGAGGATGATGAGTGGTGGTGAAGATGAGTGGTGAAGAGGATGATGATTGATTGTGAGTGGTGGTGGCGATGATGATGTTTGAATGAGGATGATGCCGATGCCGATGCCGATGATGATGATGATGATGATGATGATGATGATGATGATGATGATGTTCGTGAGCGTGTGAGAGAGTGCGAGTGATGATGATGATGAGTATGTGAGTGACTAAGCATGTGAGAGAGCATCATCGATGATGCTGATGAGGTTGATGATGAGAGAGTGTGAGTGAGTGTGAGTGGGTGTGTGTGTGTGTGTGTTCCTGTCCTGTTCCTGCGCGGGGTGTCCAGAGAAAACAAGAACCCCACTTTGGATGTGGGGAATATTACTAGTAATAATACTATTCATAATAATAATAATACTCATTCTCATAACAATACAACTAACAATGCCACCACTAATATTATTACTAACGGTACTATTAATAATCATATTCATAATACCGACATCAATACTTATAATATTAATCATAATACTACGAAGACAAATAATACGACGATGCATACGAATAACCACAACCAACAATAATACGAATAAGCATACTACTCATCATAATAAGAAGAGGATGAGGAGGAGGAGGAGGAGGAGGAGGAGGAGGAGGAGGAGGAGGAGGAGGAGGCGGACGAAGTCTCTCGATGACCCGTCCAAAGTTTACTCAGGTCCTGCTCCGTGCGCTGCTTCTCCACCTCTGAGTCTGGCCACAGGTGCTTCGGCGACACCGGTGACGGCGCTGTTTGCAGCAGTCGCTGCTGCCGAGACGGTGCTCGAGGTGGGCTGCTGTGCCGCCTGCGCCCCCGCTGGAGCTTGAGGATGCACCTGGGGCGGCGTGCCCAGGAGGAGCAGAGGGGGAGCGGAGGGGGGACGAGTGAGTTTTCCAGCAGAAGCTTTCGAACCAGATGGCTTGAACCATACTTGTTACGGATCGTCGAATCAACATTCTAACATATGTCGGACAGGTCTCTGATGGTTCTGAAACCTCATACCCCGAATTCATACACACTTTAACTCCGATGCCTGTCCTTTGCAGAATCGTAGAAAAAAACATACGCGGAGCGTGGGGCGATCCACTGCTGCATAACACATACAGTTTAGCTCTATCTAGGTAGCTTCTGTAAGACATGCAACTGCGCTTTTCTAGCATCAGGCTGGCTTGCTAGGCTGCAGTGGATAACTTGTGTTTCCAGAGCTCAAAATCTCGAGGATGCTGTATGTGAGCGGGTGGGGAGCAGCAGACGCAAAGGGCAAACGCTCATTTTTTTCCTTCTTACTGAAACCGAATATGACTCGGCATCTCGCGGGTTATCTCCCACCACGGTAACACATGTCGTAGTAGACGTCGTGATCTGGCTACTCCTGAAGATTCTCGATCTCCTTCTCGGTAGCCTCCGGGTGTTGTGTCGCACGCTTGTGACGCACCGCCTGGCCCTCGGCAAGGGTGACCTTCCATTTGCCCGTGGTACAGTACGCTAGGAGCTGATCAAACCATCCTTCTTTCGTGAGCCCGTCTGCCAGCATGGTCCGTGTAGGAACATGGAGCAGAGACCGAATACGATGATGAACTCTGTCTTATCGTAATGCCATGATGACCACTCTCTGCGACTTGTCAGACGGTATACCACGGCCGCCTGTGATCAACTCGAAACAGGTCCATGCAATCTGTCACTGCGTCGTGTGGTATGATCGTGATGTCCTTCTGACTCATCTCCAACATGTCGTGAGGGGGGTGCGCGTCGACCTCGGAAGTAACACCATGTGGCCGAACAGCTCTGTGAGCCGTGCCGCGATCAATTGACCCATCTGTGTGCATCCGATGGCCGAGAGCGTCTCTGCATGAGTGGTAGAATGCTAAGCTCGTGAAGCCTTGCGCGCACTGAAGAGCAGCGTATGAGCAAAGCCTCCTACCTTGGAGAAGTCGTGGCCCACGATCCACTCAGGAGTGTCCATCTTCAGGTCGTCGTGCTTCAGCATAACGAACTTGCCCTTGTACGGGTAACAACTCTTCTTGCTGGCGTGACCACAGTCATGGATGCTGCAGAGCCTCAGTAGAAACGATCTCTGGTGATAGTGCAGCCCATTCGTCTTGCGCGCCTTCATGAGTACACGATTGGCCATCTTCAAGTGTTGAACTTGAGGGCACACCATCTCCGACTGAAGAGAAACCACATCATGAGCGATATCCACTCTCGTAAGGCATAGCCACAGCAGACTGCATACCAGCGCTCTGAACTGGTGGTGCTCGTACTCGTCCAGCTCCTGGAAGTCCTTCTGGGTGTTGAGCGTGTTCGTGAACTTGGCCTCCGGCAGCTTCTCGAGGTAGTGCTGCTGGTGTACCAGCAGGTGTTCTGGTGAGAATATCTCGTGCTTCATACCCAGGTAGACGAACTGAAGGCTTTTCCTCTTCGGGTTCTCGAACTTCTGTCCGAGCTTCTTGGCGATGTGATCGAGGAACCCCTTTGTCGTCGCTAGCAGAAGATCGTCCACATGAATGGTGCACAGCGGTGCTACCTGCTGGCCGTTGATGATCATTAGGAGGCATTCGTCATGAGTGCTCATCCTGTAGTAGCCAATGTCCAGCTTTAGGTAGTGTAGCGGCGCCAGCTGCCACAACAGCGGAGCGTCCACCAGGCCGTAGAGCGCTTTGAGGCACTTGAGGATGAAACGTGGGATGTCACCATCCAGCACCATGATCTTGCTGCTCGGAATGTTCCTCCAGTGCCTCCCGATTTTCGCCGACGGGCGTAGCCATACTTGGCGCGCTTCCTTGACCTCAGGGCCTTGCTCTTTCGCTTTGGCCACGATCTCTGAGAACTTCAGGCCTTAAGCTGCCGAGATGTCGAAGCTCTCGAGGGCCAATTCGAACTGTATGGCTAGTGAACATAGTAGCCTATGGCTCAGACGCGATGCCGTCGAAGAGTGACGACTTACTGTAGTCTTCTGGCGGTCTAAGAAACCACGACAAAAGCACCTTGACTTGACAATCCGCGCCTGGCGATTCTTCCACTTGCGGACCCAGATGCCGTCTAGGACGTTCGTGGCGTTCGTGGACATGTCGATCTCGCAAACGTCATGGCTGTAGAGCGAGACGGCTTCCTCGTAGTCCCCGGTCTCCACAGCGTCCAAGTTGTCGATCACCTCCTTTGGCGTCAGGAGATCATCTGAAGAGACCGAGAGGCACTGATCCTCGCGGACGTCGTCGTAGAAACACATGGGCCTCGTCATGGGCCTTTCCAGCACTGCGAACGCCTCGTCTGCTGTCCACGGCAGCTCGCCATGTTCAGCCTGCCGACTGAAATGTAGGACTTGCCGCCACGCTGCGCAAGGGCTGTCGAAGGCGATGCTCCGCATGGTGTGCATCAAACCACACCTGATAGCTGTGCAGCTTGAGCTTATCTTGCTTGTCCTCGTCAACCTTCTCGCTTGTTGCCGGGCCGTAGTCGATGGTTTCGTCGTTCTCGGCAGGCTCAGTGATGGGCAGGATTGGCTCTGCCGAAGCTGGTGCTCCCGACGATGCTGCCGCTCCTGATGGTGCCGATACTGCTGAGGTGCGAGCTCCTGGAGCCACTCGATCGTCGAGGGGACTTGCTGACGCATCTCGCTTCTTAGGCTGCGTCCTAGCTGAAGTGGGTGATACTGCTGCTCGGTGTCATAGTGTTTCTTTCCGAACTTGTCGGTTGTGGTCATCGTGCTGGTCTCGTGGATCTGGAGCAGGTCCGTAGTCTTTCGTGCGAGAGTTATCTAATTCTGACGTTGTAGGCGATGGTCCTCCGTGAACTGCTCTTGGTAGGGTGACTCCGGCAGCGGTGGTAGGATCGCTGCTTCTGATTGGCCGTAGTCCAGCGTGGGCTCGTACGCGGCGCCGTAGTCCATCGTGTCCTGCAGGCTTGCTGGCGACGATGGTGGTGAAGCCCTGGACGCCGCAGGCAGTGTAGCTGCTCGCTCAGGAGTGGCTGGCACGGCCACGTTCTCGCCTGGCACTGGTAACTTGGCTGGGGATGCCTTCGGCGGTGGAGCCCGTTCGAATAGTCGCGATCTTGACCGATCACCTGCCGCTGGGGAACTGCCTGAGGATTCCGATACCTTTGTGATGTCCATGTCCGCTTGGTCGTCAGGGTCGATCACGCGAGGACTGGCAGGCGCAGCAGGCGGCGCAGGAGGTGCAGGAATGAATCCTTGGGGAGAGAGAGAGAGAGAGAGAGAGTATCACAACAGTAGTAGCTCAACACAAATGTATGTATGTATGTATCTCACACACATGCCTCTTGACATACAAAAGACACGCTTTATGACAACTTTGGAAGTCATTGTGAGGATTCATTGCATCATCGGATGATGTTACGCGGCGGTGGCGGTGGAGGCCGCATGGCGCCCTCCTCGCCCTCTGGCGCGGCATCGAACGACGCGTCTGGAGATAGGGCCCTGCACCTCACGGGAGGCGTCTTGGGCACATTCGGCCGTGCCGCAGGCTGCGGCATCCGCTTCGGTACTGGAACTGGTCGTACGGGTTCCTCCGGAGGCTGCCGCGCCGCGGGTGGAGCCTGGACTGGCCGTGGAGGCTGCCGAGGTGGGCGCGGTGGCCGAGGCACACTGGAAGACCAGGCCACAGTAGATTTCCGAGGTGGTCGTCTTCCTCTTCGCCTGCCTCCAGCCAGGAGCCTCCAAACGACGTCCATGGTGATGCTATCCATGGAATAGGAGATGGGCCACCAACTCCGCTGAGGTCGGCTTTGGCGTCTCCTCGATCTCGTCGTTCGGCTCACTGTAGCTGAAGTAGAGCATGAAACGTTCAGCCTTCAATGGCCCCGATAACGAGACTGGAAGAGCCTTGTCTGGCACCACGTCGCGAATCATGTAGCTCTCACGTCGGTTGTTGTTCCAGGTGATGAGTTGCCCGCGCTGTGCTGCCGAGATATCATCTGTTCTTTTGCACTTGTTGCCGAATTGGATGCCGTCGAACTTCGTGCCGTCGAGTACTCCTGTGAAGACCTTTTGGGCCACCGTCCACAGCGGTGGAGGATTCTGATCCAGGTCGGGCGGCACGACGACGTAACTTTGATCCGCACTCGAATGCACCAGGCCGTACGTATAGGACGTGAAAGCCGCTCCTGACTCCACTATCTCCATCATCTGCTTGACAGTGTCGTTGAACTCGTGCTGTATGGCGTGGACCTGGCCAGTGTGGTGCTTCTGGTGTGGGAGCCACACGAAGCCCACGTGTGGGCGTAGGTGCCTGATGGGCACCAGCATTATATGGCCTCTCCAATCGACTACTGCCTTTGAGCCGTCCTGGTAGACCTTGATGACCTTGCAGGGTCCACGGCAGCCTGGATCGTCCTTGGAGTTTGGCTCGCGCCAGAGATCTGCCTTCGCTTCATCGATGATCTTCGCGCGATCCTCTGGCTTGAACTTCTGCATCTTGGTGTTCTGGGCCACGGCCAGATGATCCTCGACGATGCTCTGCAATCTAGCCTCCTTAGTCATCATGCGTAGACGGAGGGCCACCTCGATGGCGTCGGGAGCGGTCTCGAGGGCCCCCGAGGCCGCAGATATTGTCTTGACCTCTGGATCGTACAGCTCGCGAGGCTGGTAGCCCAGCAAGCCTTGGTTGAGCGCGTGCCCGTTGTAGCTCAACATGCTGCTGGTGCACGTCGCGACCTCGCAGACCACCTGGCTCTGCGTCGTGTTCAGGCCCGTCTTCTGGGCCGTTGCCCACAGCTTCGGAGCTCCCGCACGCACGATCTCGACCCTTCTCTCTGCGATGGGCGCGGCCGC